AGTTTTGCTTAAGTAGTGTGTGCCTATGATGAAATGTTTGGCTTAAAATCAATTGTTTCGTAGTGTTTTTACCAAGGGGGAAAAAACTCATTCGGGCATTCCCTGGCATTCCCAGCCATTCCAATCCATTCCTATCCATTCCGATCCATTCCCAGCCATTCCGATCCATTCCAATTCATTCGTATCCAATCCGAGCTATTAGAAATCATTCACGTTTACACCTAACTTTTGTAAATTACTGCTATGCATCTTAAAGTTAGCTTTTCTCGTGACCTTAGTTACTCGACAGAAGGGAAGGGCATATAAAATAAAATGTGTTTGTCTATGGCTGAATGTTTGTGGCGGGTCAAAGCTCATAGTATTACAGAACATTATAAAGTTTGACAAAAGGTAATTCGGGTCAAGGAATCCGAATCTGAAGTAGATTGTTCAATATTTTCAGATGAATTTTTCCGGTAAAGCAAAGGACTTTTTGAGAAAGTCACCATATTTGATAAAGGTTGACGAAAGTAAATCGGGGTCGGGGAATCCGAATCTGTAGTTAGATTTTCAAAATTTGAAACTAGATTTTTTAGGCTAAGAAAATATTTTTTTGAGAAAGTAACGACATTTCACAAAGGTTGACGAAAGTAAATCGGGGTCGGGAAATCCGAATCTACCGTCAGATTTTCACAATGGCATACTCGAGTTCTCGATGAACTTTGACTGGAAAACTTTTCCCGTAGACGCCAAGGAAGTGCCAAATTGTGCAAATCTGACTGCAGATTCGGATTTCTCGATTATGATTTCCTCTCGTCAGCCTTTATAAAACATCATTGCTTACTCAAAAAAAAATTTCTTTGGCCTAAAAAAATGAGTTTGAAATTTCGAAAATCTGACTGTAGATTCGAATTCCCCGATTCCGACTTCCTTTTGTCAACCTTTATGAAATATCGTGACTTTCTCAAAATAATATTTCTTTGGCATAAAAAAACGAGTCCGAAATTTTGAAAATCTGACTGCAGATTCGGATTCCCCGGCCCCGATCTAATTCCGTGAACCTTTATAAGACATCGTTATTTTCTTGAAAAAAGATTTCCTTCATCGAGAACTGGTGAAAAACGGAAACCGTAGGTGGGCGTATTGGTTTGGATCGGTGACAGTACACCGGTGAATGATCGTCACCATTACATCTCTAATTGACATAGTCACTAGAACTAAATGTAAGCTTGTGTGTTTATTATTTTGAGTTTGGTTTATTGGTAATTAGGGATGCAACGGTGACGATCAATCACCGGTTAACCGTCACCGTTTCACCGGTCCAAACCGGTTACCGTAGCTTCGGTTACCGTACCTACTACGGTTACCGGTCCTACGACGGTAACCGTAGCTACGGTTACCGGTCCAACTACGATAACCGTACCTACGGTTACCGGTTCCAGCCGGTTTTCACGAAGGAAACGACTTTTTAAGAAAATAATGATTTTTTATAAAGGTTGACGAAAATAAATCGGGGTCGGAGAATCCGAATCTGAAATCAGTTTTTTGAAATTTTGAATTTTATTTTTTTTGACTAGGGAAAGGGTTTTTTAAGAAAATAACTATTTTCTATAAAGGTTGACGAAAGACAACCGGGATCGGAGAATCCGAATCTGAAATCGGTTTTTCGAAATTTTGAATTTTATTTTTTTTGACTAGCGAAAGGGTTTTTAAGAAAATGATGATTTATTGTAAAGGTTGACGATAGTAAATCGAGGTGGAAGAATCCGAATCTGACATCGGTTTTTCGAAATTTTGAGTTTCGAATTCCCAGCAAAAAAATCTCTTTATCAAAGTCTTGCTTATCCTAGAAACTTTTTCTAGGGAGAAATGATTTTTTTCCTAAAGAAAAAGTTTTATCTTCAAAAATGGAACTCAAAATTTCGAAAAACTGATTTCAGATTCGGATTCTCCGACCCCGATTGACTTTCGTCAACCTTTATAGAAAATCGTTATTTTCTTAAAAAAACCCTTTCCCTAGTCAAACAAATAAAATTCAAAATTTCGAAAAACTGATTTCAGATTCAGATTCTCCGACCCCGATTTATTTTCGTCAACCTTTATAAAAAATCATTATTTTCTTAAAAAGTCGTTTCCTTCGTGAAAACCGGCTGGGACCGGTAACCGTAGGTTCGGTTATCGTAGTGGGACCGGTAACCGTATCTACAGTTACCGTAGCAGGTACGGTAACCGTAGTACGGTTACCGTAGTAGGTACGGTAACCGTACCTACGGTTATCGTCACTGTTGCATCCCTATTGGTAATATCTTGATTAGGATGATCACATAGAGAAACACAGAAGAATACAGGAAGAAAACTAGATAACGACTGTACTATCTGACCACGTAGTATAGAACGAACATGAATATATATACATAAGAATAGATTGGGAAAATTCCCTATACGAACTGAGATAACACAGTGGGAAAATTCCTACATATCACGTTGGGAAAAATCCTATATACGAAAATGTGGATATTTCCAACACTTCTGAATGTTGGTAAATTCACCACCTGAACACTAAAAATTGACGATTCTAGCGATATTAAGATGTTAAAATTCGAATTTAAAGTTATGAGAAAATTACACATCTCTATCTATTTCATAGGCATTCCGATCCATTCCTAGCCATTCCGATCCATTCCCAGCCATTCCTAGCCATTCCTAGCCATTCCCTGCCATTCTGATCCAATCCTAGCCATTCGGAATTCCCGAATGAGATTGTCCCCCCTTGGTTTTTACTGTGAAGGCAAACATTGTTACTCTTTAGTTAGATGGTACCATCTTGACTTATGGAATTAGTTTTGTTTTTTGTATTTCTACCCATACGTGAGTTTATCGATCAATCTATGTTTCTATCCGTCTATTTTTAAAATTTTTCCTTTTTGATATTAATAAGGCAAGATTTGCTCAGTTATATTTTTGAAAATCGTGGCATATAATGATCCTAGCTGAGCGTATAATTTTTTTTATAACGGAGGAGGGCGGATAAGGTCGTATTGCGGCCCCATTCAGAATCGATTTATTTTTATTGCATTCGAATAAGGGATCACTCCTGATAACTTTTTTCAACTTTATTCTCGAAAAACCGATATTGACGATTTTGGTCCCTGGGGTCCCCCACGGGTATCATGAAAACAAATTTTCTTTTTTCGCCAGTCAAAACTAGATGTGCTTGTAGATTCAGGGGTGCTGATTACGAATATCATAATGAAAACTCTCAAAACTCTTCTGTTCCTTAAATAGTCCTAACAACTCTGTAGACTCCATTTTTCATTGTTGGGGTCCCTCATAAAATAACTATTCATTAAAATTTAATGGAGAATACTTCTTCTAACTCAGATTTTTGAGTTCTCTACGCATTTGGACTTTTTACGTCGAAAAAATGTGACCTTAGGAAAAAGCGGCGATTTGGGGGCAAAAGTCGACCCTTTTTGGAGTATATAGGTTTTTAGCCCCATGATTTGTTATGAAGATAACCTTGGCGCAACGTCAAATTTTCACCATAGGGGTAAATTTTTATGCTCTATCGATTGGCAACGTCAAAGTTGAAGAAAAAGTTGTGCAACAGGGTCAAAAGTTAAGAATACTATAAAATTCTATAAAATTCCCGTGGGGACCACAGGTATGAATACATGTGAGATCTTGAAATCAACTAATATATAGCCCATCGTGTAGAGATTGATGAACTATGCATATAGAAAAAA